AATTGCCCCTGGAGACTTTGAAGGGGATTCTGGAGCGAGATGATTTGGAGTTGACTTCAGAAAAGGAAGTGTTCGAAGCTGCTAAGAGATGGTTAGCACACGACAAGAACAGAATGGAGTACTTACCGGAGGTACTGGATCGAATACGGTTCCCGCTTCTTCCTCTCGATTATCTCAAGAGAAATGTCCTCATGGAACAGTCGATACGAGATGATCCTAGATGCTTCCATCTTATAAGCGAGGCCAAGGATTATCTCATCCCCGAGCTTCGTGACTTGGTACCAATTGAGAAAATGAGACAACGTGGATCTGGGCTTCGTCGTATGATGCTTACTTCCGAGATGGTGGATAATAGCCATAAGGGTCAAGACATCGAAAGGATTAATGACTCGTGTGACACTGAAAAGAAATCAAGCTTTCGAGTATTTCCTGGAAAGCAGAAAGCACTGAAGAGTAAAAGTAAACGGGATACGCCGGAAGAAGCGCCAAAAGTGACCGGCACCGTTGTATGGTTCGAGATAGAACTGGGGTTTGGTTCCATTAAGAGGAATGATACCAAGAGAACTGTATTTGTCCATCATTCAGCCATTGCTAATTCCAATCCCAGCAAGGCCATTCGCAGTCTGAGACCTGGAGAAGAAGTGGAGTTCTACGTCATCCCCGGAGAGAAAGGAAAGCTACGAGCCACCGAAGTGACGGGGCCAAACGGTGCTCCAGTTAAAGGCTTGCCCTATGCTCCGACCAAGATGCAAGCCTGGAATTAGTGGGGATCCCTCCTGTGCGAAAAATCGTTCATTTACCTGTGTTTTTTAGTTTGTCCTCGGTTAAGGAGACTACTAAGACGAACCCACGAAAGGGCTCACACATTACTCTCATCCCCTCGGCGTGGACCTCATTCGTGAGACTCAGACGAGGATCTTGGGGCCATGTCTTCGTTCGCAATGTTTTGCCCAAAAAAAAATGAAGGGGGAGACCGCCCTTTATAATAAGCCGTAATCAGCCTTTCGGTAACGTTGAATCAGCCTGAGGATGAAGAAATTTATAAGTGAAGGCATTTTTTGAAGAATCATCCTTTTGCACTGATCTTAGCTTTGGGAGAGTGAAGATCTCTGATCTATTATCATGGACTGAAGTGTAATACCTCATTAGATTTTACTTCCTTAAATCCAGTGTTTCGAGTCGAAATAAAACTGATTCTTTCCATGCGACGACTATGCCACCTTTATTTTTACTGACGTGCAACTCTTGCTGAAATAAATGTCGGCTCCAAATAGCTACAATTGCATTCCAGGAAAAGTTTGCGCCTAGTGGAAGCCGATTCAGTCAGATGGTCGCAATTTTGGACCGCGATAAGTTGGCAATAACGTGTTTGGCGTTTTAAGGCGATTGATTAGCCGGGAATTAATTGTTCGGTTGGGATCTAGTTCGTTTCACGCCCGGATCCTTTTCTTTCATGTCATGGTCGCAATTCTATTTTATATCTTGGAGGCTTATCTGAAAGGGACGAACCAGCGGCGCGTTGATGAGAGGTATGAGAATATCCTGGAGAGAAAATTGGCCAACAAACGCATTCTCGGAATCCCTAGAGATAACTCGCTTCATCATTCCCTATGGTGCCATCTCGCCAAACAAGGAAACAATATGAACGTACGTGCAAGAGAGCGCATGCTGCTTTCGTCCTCTGATGTTAGTTGCATGTACGTATGTGTACGCCATGGTTGCGAGTTGGAAGAGTTATCAGAAGACGGCATCAGACCTGGAATTGGGATGCCGGGAAGTCTCGGCGAAGATAAACGCATTCCTTCCCTTCCTCTATGATGTCACCCTGAAAGTGGGGAAGCTTACCTTTAGTGGTAGCCGCCTCCTCTTGGCTGCCTGGTCTCCTAACCTAGAACGAATCTTTCAAAAATTCTCAGAGGAGATTACTCTCACTGGCGTTTCTAAGGTGGGTTTCCAGCGTGTTCGGCAATTCATTCATGGTCTGGAATTTTTCATGGAAGGGGAGAAGGAAACCTTGGCTATCCTCATAGATGCCCGTGCTCTCGGCATTCAACGCTTGTGTAATATCGTCTCCAAAAAACTCTTCGAAGCACTTAACATCCGTATTGCATGCCTGTTTCTTACCACGGCTGAGAAAGTGAACGAGATTAAATTAAATGAAGGAACCTCATCTGCAGGTGCTTTATTCAAATCGCGAACTCCCCTGGGTATCTCAAATTGCCTCTGGAGACTTTGAAGAATATTCTGGTTCGGGATGGCCTGGAGGAATCCTCTGAGGTAAAAATGGTTGAAGCTGCCAAGAGATGGTTAGAGCACGACAAAAAACTAAAAGAATACTTACCGGAGGTACTGTATCAAATACTTATTCCACTTCATCCTCTCAATAATCTTAAGAGAAATGTATTCATGGAATCATACATAATTGAGGATCCTACAGGATACATAATTCTACAGGGTACGGAATCATACATAATTGTGGATACTACCAGAGAGGATATTCCGGCTCACAAATGACCGGCACCGTTCAATGGTTTGACGTCGTCCTGGTGCATGGATTCATCGAGAGGAACTATCCTAAAAAACCTATATTTGACCATCATTCTGCCATCGTTAGAAGCGAATCATTCCAAACCGTTCGCAGCCTCGGGGCCGGAGAATAGGTGGAGTTCCATGTAGTTCTAGGAGATAAAGGAACACTAGAGGCCGTGGACGTGACGGGTCCAAACGGTGCACCAGTTCGTGGCTCGCCCCCATGGGATTGGGGGATGGATTCGGGATACGTGAGGCAAGGACAAGTCGCTGGGGATCCGTCGGTGTCTTCCATTCTGAATAGGTGCACGAGGGAGACGCTCGAAAGAACCAGACTTTCTTGGAATGTGGGATCCTCGGAAATTCCAGCCTGGGATTTCGGTGGTTTTCGTTGATGATGGGAGATGGTTGGACCGTGAAAGGAAAATGCGCTCATGCTCTTTCGTGAATATGAAAGATTAATAACACGGGAGGTAAAATTTTTAGCTCACTGGAATTTATTATACATTTAAAATGCTATTCCATCTTGAATAACCCGCCGAAATTCGCCTTCAGCTTGTCGAGGAATCCGACGTGCAATCTCTCAGGAAAGACGAAGTGAAACAATGAAAGCCGCTGGGGGGGGGGAGGGGGGATGCAAATCTTTTGTAGGTGAATTATCGATTGCCATCAGGTTGAAAGCATATAGCAAGCAAGAGAGGGAGAGCAAAAAGGACTTATCGCGCTATACACGGTAACGAGATCGACCAAATCCGAGTCCGCCCTGGTCATGAGCCAAAGAGATTTCGAACCTGGCTCGGAACGAGTTCACAGCTCCGATTGATTGGGGATCAGAGACACTTTCAGAACGCCATAAATACTGCTACTTATCCGCCCACCCGGAAGATGTCGCTGCCTGGAATCGATGGAGCGTTTCTATGAGGGGGAGGGGAGGGTAGAGCGATGGTGGGGATGGGGATGGGGATGGGGTGGGGAAGGGTGGGGTAGGGTGGTGTGGGGAGGGGAGGGGTGGGGTAGGAGTGATTATTTCAATGCAGTGGGGGGGGGGGGGGGGGGGGGGGCAAAAATC